TATAGGATAAAATTGAGCCGGAGAACAGGTTAATTCTATAGTAGAATTTGTTGTTCCGATTGCAGATTTGTTGACCTAGTTTATCTCTGTAATTACTGGGCCTATCCGCACGAAACAACAGGTACAAAGTTCAACATCGCCTCTGTTAGTACAAATAAACAAGTGAAATTGCTTGGTCTCAATAGCTTTAGAAAGTGGTGCCATTATTCAACGCTAAAGATGTCATAGATGTCAGCTGAAAGGACTGTATGTTTCACAGTATGACATTAAACTTATCGCCCATGGAGACAAGCAGGTGTCGCCACCAAAGCCAGGCCACCCACTGGCTTGTTCAAATATTTCTCAACTCACTTTGAATATCATAAATTATAATAATGATGTAATTAGTATCTTTAAAAACAAGAGATAGTTTATTTAGTCTATCCACCATTGCGGTGATAATCTGTACTTGTATGCTTGTATGTTTTCAGATACCCCAGCATTCTTCGGACCCCGAGGACATCCTGTGATACTGGAGAACAGGTATGGACTCCATACAGTCAATTTTACAGCCTATATGTGTATAAGGAACTAGCTGTCTTTAAGCCTCTAATGCAATAAATGCTTTAATCTCAGTGTTTTGTGTTTTCTCTCTGATAAGAACAGTTAAGCACAAAAATCTGCAGTCTAAACAGAATAAGATCATTTACTTAAGAAATTTCAGCAATGAGTGTATTTTTTAGTGGAGATAAGAAGTGGGGTTATCTGCTGGATACTTATCGCCTAAAACTGACTCTGTAAGACATTTTGTGCTCATGTTCTATTATATGTATTTGTTGTGTTAAGGTATAAAAGTGGCTCTCAGACTTAGAAAAAAAGTTATTATTTTCAAATTAGGGATAGACAGTTCATGATGATGGATGATGCAAATTTCAATATTGGTGTTGTATCGGTATCAGAAATACTCCAATATAATGGCTGCTGTTTTTTCTAAAGGATTTTATCTTTCATGGAGACTTAGAAGCGATGAAGCTAAAGAGGTGGCTGTATATATGTTTTTTCAGTGACTATAAAAAGTACACCAAATGATGAGTCATACAAAATACATTTTGTTAAACTTAACTTGACTACAACTATACTTAATTTTGTGGGCCATGACATTTAAAATATATATGGACCTGGAAATATCAGACACAACATCGAGACAAATATCAGATATTGGTATCAGCTGCAGATCTCAAATGACATCCTAAAATTATGACAAATGTTTGTTTTACTTATGTTTTTCTGCATTTTTATGATCCACACACATTATTGTATAGCTTCTTTGCTTTTAAGAACAATTCTAACTTAGCCATTCTACCACATTCTACCAGTTCATTTTTTTTTTTTTCAATGTAAAATACACATTTTCATTTATTCAGTCAGTCATATAATGTTTTTATATGTATTATTATACATCAACACATATGAATTGTTAACAATATCTGAACATTAATTTGGTCTTTACAAAGTACTGAAATTATTTTTTGTCCATTTCTGTCCACAGACGACCACCTGAGCAGACCACAAAGTGAAATAGTTTAAATACACCACTCACCAACCCTCAATTATTTTTCATTTCTTCTCGCAACTTTTTGACAAGCCAAAATCTCAGAGGGATTTTCCAGACTCAACATCTGTAACCTGTATCTGTGTATGACATGCCTGTTTGTCCTATGGCACTGATGTTGTGTTTAATACAGTGAAGAAAGCAGCAGCGGTATCCTTATCTCTCGAGTTTATTCTCATCAGCCTTCTGTCATTACAACCAACCATCTGTGGAAAACTGCATTAGGATTCTACAATGTACACGTGCTATTTTATGGTGCAATGTCCAAGTTACGCTAATTCACAAAGGAAATCAGTCATAAAATGCACTAGATTGAGCATCTTACAATTTCCTGTTCATCTCATTGTAGCCATTTGTTTATTATTATAGGATGTGGAAAAATTATGAATCATGATATGAATTGTCAGTGCGAAATTAAAGGTTGGGTTCGCTCATAAATAATGTTTTGACAATGGGTGAAAGTACCATCTGGTAGGTCTATACGTACATGTGTTGAACTCCTGGTAATGACAGGAATAATTATGCCGGTAATGAAGAAAGATTATGAAGATGCTGTTTTCATTATGCCGAATAAAGTGAAAAACAAAACAAAAACTTTAAACTTTAAAAAGGAGCACTATGTAACTTTTCTGGAAGGGAGTCTGTGTCCATCTTCTCTTCATGGAAATGTTAATGCCTTGCTTTGAATGTTCCACAGTATTGCATTTAACTTTTTAACTCCATAGAGTTAACCACCAGATCATCACATTTATAGTCACATATGTGGAGAGCAAAGCTTGCTCACAGTAGAAATGCATGCCTTTCAAAGTACTTTTTTTTTTAGCAGGAAAAACAGCTGTAATTGAATAAATGTCATATAGACAAGTTTAATGTCACACTGTGGATCTTCTCCATGGAGATAAGCATGTGAAGGATTCCTAACCAGAATGAAACATAGCATACCTTTAAGGCTACCACAAATATGACAAGATGAATTTGAAAAAAAAAAAATCATAGATGACATATTTTATTGTTGTTGCATGTGGCTAACTTTCTAAACAGCATTCAAAATTCCCATTAGAAATCAGTTTCAGAATACTTTAGGTCTTCTACCAAGTGACCGTGTTTGAACTGCTAGAAGTCCTCTCATAATGTTGGACCATGATATTTAATCTTCCAACAACATGGAGGGTAAAAGAGAATTAGCTGCTATAGCATGAATTCCTGAGCTAGAAGAAATCAGCTACAGACAGTGGTGTATATACTAATTAAAAGCACAAAATACATATTCTCTATCATTTATATCCATGGATATCAAGGTTAAGGTTAAGGTGCACTTTATTGTGCCTGGGGAAACCTGTCTGGATCCATCTCCAGATGTTGAGCTAGATGTTAAGATTTTACTCATGATGCATGTTTTGGACTGATGGGGTAAACTGGAGTGTAGAAACCCAGACATGGGGAGAAAACATGCAAATGCACACAACCCAATGTTATTGCTTTGCCTGGACTGGTCCACAGTATGGCATTAAACATATCTATCTCCATGGAAACAAGCAGGTGATGCCACCAGAACAAATTACAGGCTGTATCTGAGGAGAGGCAAACTCCCTTACAAAGTATTTTTGAGCAACAACTATAATTAGATAAATACAAGACAGATAAGTTTAATGCTATGCTGTGGAACATGCCAAACTAAGTAATAACATTCCCCACTATAACACCTTTAAATTCACCTGATGGGAGCACACATACTAACTGTACGGAGTATTGATGTCTTTTGTTTGTTTAGATTTGTTTTTTTTTTAGAAAGTTCTGCACAAAATGTAAATATGCTTATGTAAAATATGACATTAAATTATTAAGATGTACAGTAGAATTTCTTTTTATGAGAAGCTAAATGTAATAAATTGTTGTAGATTTGAAGTTATAGAATCATCAATAATGAATCAACTTGTGACTTCCTCGGTATTGTCTCTGGTATTAAGTTGAATGTAATAATTTTGTGTAAAGATGTGATCAGAAGTGATTAAAATATTTTGTACAAATCAATGTAGTATTTTGAATGAGTTTCAAAGTTCAAATAACAACAAACCTATTCACTTTGCTAAAATGTGACATTACTAAGTGGAAAATAAAGCTGTAGATCTGCATATTTACATAACTAAAGTTATTTCTGTTGTATGAGTACACTTATCTTTATATTGTAGTGAATAATTGTAGGGGTTGGGGTAGGACCAAGTTGTAGTGGTAGAACTTGTAATAGAACTATTAGTAATATTTGATATTCGTATTACATAACATATGAAGACAGTGCAATTGTAAAAAATAAACAGAATTCTGAGTACTGTACTTCATTCATGTCTTCATCTTGCCTGACATTTGTCTCTTCTCTGCACTTTTAGAAACAGAAGTCCTTTTTGCACACAGTACCACCAACTATGTTATATGTAATCATTTACTATAATAGCATGCCAGAGGTGGGTAGTACTCAGTTACATTTTCTCATTTACTTAAGTAACTTTTTAAAGAATTTGTACTTTTCTAGCAGCATGCTCTGATGCTACTTCAATAATATTTTATTTGAAGTAACAGTAAAATAAGAGTAAAAGTTTTCATTTATCTTCCCATTGTGAATGTTGATATAAACCACTAAATGGGCTTTAGTTGTGGTACTGGTGTTGAGCCGGAATCTTAAGCCTCTAACAACATATAGGTATAGTGAAGTGGTGTGTTCCCGGTGTTGTTCTTTCCTCTAAATAAAATATAATCTCTAATAAACAAAAATAGTCCTCTTGTCCTCCAATTAATAAGTTGCCTCCTTTATCTTACCTTTCCTCATTCAGTTCGGTCAGCCACATTAACAATATGAAATTATTAACATTTGAGTTTCTTCCACCTCTTCTTCAGAATATTACTTATATTACTCATCTTGGTGTCTATCCTCTGAAAATACCACATTTTGTCCTTCACATTACATTAAACTATAACAAATTTTTACTCTAGTATGTTCTTGGACCACTACTTTGTACTTTTACTTGTGTAATATATTCTGACATAATCTTACTCTTATATGAATACAATATTTGGTTACTCTACCCACTTTACTTAATAATGGAATCAGCATCTGCTTAATTTGTAGCTACATTGTGGAGATGTTACCCATTTCTCTTAGTGTTTTTTGCCAATTCAAACAACTTATTTGTTACTTACCTATTATTTCCTTCATGTTATAAGTATCTAATATTCTCTTTTATTAATATTTGAACAAGTAATGTGTAATGTTTTTTAGTAATAATCCTGCTAACTTCCCCTCCATTGTTCCCAAATAACCAGGTCGCATGCCGCTGCCCTCTTGTAATGATTTTAGACAGACTTTGCCTCATGGATCATGACTTGCCTTCAGATTCACACTGGTGCATGCTGGGAAAAGGAGGCGGGTTCACTGAATACAAGGCTGGTTGGATGAGACTTCAGATGGTTTCTGGAGTGGAGATACACACAGGTACAGTGTTTTACTACTTCTATTTATTTTTAATGTTGTTTTGTCATTTACATCTTACTAGAATATAGACACAGACAGTAGACAGTGAGGACAATCAGCCCTTACTGAAGTATTGGTGAATACAGGCTAAAAGTTCAACTTAAAGTCAAAGTGTGTGGTTAGAATGACAAAAGATGAGGACAAACAACATGTGTACACAAGTGGCTGTACTTTAACATATTACAACTATACTGCCACCACTATAATACTAGTACTACATTTTCCTCACTATTTTTTCTTGCTTTATTAATGCAAAAAAACTGATGAAATAGTATTTTGAAGTTTCACAATTTCCAAGATTTCCTTGGCCAAAGTGTTGTTTTTATGTAGATATGGCATATTTTGTTACTATATTGGTAGAATCATTGTTAAATCTGTAGTGGTTTCACTTGTTTCACTGACAAGGGATAGTACCACACAAAATATGTATAACCTCAACTTTGCAAAAAAGTGTCAAAATCTGTATTTCTGCCTAAAGATAAACTACTTTCCCAGGTTAACTTGAATTTAAAAGTTGCTGTATGTGTCAGTAGACAGTAGGGAGCGATGTCCGGAGCAGAGAGCAGCCCTCTGACCACTCATGTGCTCAACACAGCAGAGGGGCTCCCAGCCTCTCGACTGGCCCTCAGTCTGCACCGGCTGGACCACAGCACCAAGATCTGGAACATGCTCACTGTTGGGTGGGGCTTTTTACAACCTCTGACAGAAGTAGTAGTAGTACTAGTACTAGTAGTACTAGTATGACCATCAACAGCACTGGCAGTACTTGTATAGATTAAAATTAAAACTTAATACTAATTAATACCATTAAAGAACAATTAATACTGTTAAAATGCTGATTTGATTGTAATACAGCAAGTCCTTGAGCCTTGTCAATAATAGAAATCTTAAGATTCAACATTTGTGCATTTACCTTTGTGTGAATTTTTCATGGCAAAGGACTGTTATCAATAGGATCTGGCTCTTGCACCATCATTTGGCAGTAGCATTATTGCTTTCTAGAGTCTAAAAGCCATTAATAGATTTGACATGCAATGATATAGTTTGATTGATTTTGTTTTGTATCAGGACTACAAACACAGATGGTCGGTGTCCAGGGCTTGTCTCCAGAGCAGATTTCACTCCAGGGATGTACAAACTGCGCTTTGAGACGGGAGAGTATTTTAACAACCTGGGACAGAGCGCCTTCTACCCCTATGTGGAGGTCAGCAGTTCCATTCAAAACGAACCACATATTTATTTGTTATTATTAAAGCATAATACTACAATATACATTAATGCATTTTTATAATTCACTTTTCAGTGGTTTGCCAGTCTATAACCTGTAAGGTTGACAATTTTGTTTTAGTCCAGATTTTCAATAACATTTCTAGCTGTGGTTGTTATTGTTTGTTTGGATAATGGGGAATGACACGGCACGGCACTGTTTCATTTTTATTCGGGCCTATTTTCAAAAATTTTAATCACTATCACTGCTTTTAGGTTAATTTAAATCTATAGGCTATATGGCGATGTAGCATATAGCAATTCCCATCCTAACATTGTAGTCTTATTTACAATATTTACAATATGGTGTATGAACTTATTTGTTTTACTAGGTTGTTTTCACCATCAAGGAACCAAACCAGAGATTTCACATCCCTCTTCTCCTGAGCTGCTTTTCCTACAGCACATACAGAGGCAGCTGAGGCTTTCTGCATACCTCATATCTATCAAATACTAGCCTAAATATAAAGAATAGTGTGTGATATTTGTTGTTTGATTATGGTCACCACAAAAAACAGGGAGAGGAGCAATATAGAAATTGGTAAGGCTAAAGAGTTGTTTGTTGTCCAAGTAAACTACTACAAATCCTTTAGTTTTTGTGCAATTATTAATGACAATGGCAGAACCTGTTAGGTTGTTTGATGAGAAATAATTTTGTGTCAATAAGTAAAATTTGCTCTTGTCGAGTCAAGTTCAATGAAAAAACAGAAAAAAGAAAAGAGCTAAAGATGCCAAAGGACCCAATGACAGCTTGTACCATGCCTGTATGTAACAAAGAATGTAATTGTAATTAATAAAGCTATTTTATGTATAAAAATAGAATAATGCCTATTATTTTGGTTATATAATTACGACTTACTAGTATTTTCTTTTTAAATTCATAATATAGTTTAAATAATGTATTATTTTAAAATAGGCATAAGCGCGGACAGCCTCTTGTTTTTACATCACTCTCCCGTTGACATTTCACATGCTGCAGCTCCTGTTCAATAACACTGCACACTGTTACAAGATGAGGCGTGGGAGAGCGAATTAAAAGCATCAAAGCACAACTATTTTTAAAGACAGTTTTGGTAGGGGGCTGTGGGAGGATGTCACCGCTACTGAGGCTTCTCTCCGCCGCCGCTCTGCCCCTCCACAGAGCAGGAGGAGTCCGAGGATTCCTCAGTGCCGTAGCCGCAGGACGAGTCTCCTCAGTCGGATTCAGGAGTAGCGTTGCCCGGGTAAGTAAGACTGAGGTCGCGGTGTTAAAATTAGGATCCAATTGTGGATATTGTAACACGGAATTAACAGCGCTAATGTATACATTATTATTACTCTGAATGTCGTTTTGTTATCTTGAAGTAGAGGGTCTGATGAACCATGTTGCCAAATCCTATTATGAAAATCAACTATGCCAAGGTCGAGATACCCAAACAGAGCAGCTTTATTCACAAGACTCGCAAATTTATTACTCCACAGTTATAATTTGCCCTCCTTTCATTCGGCTAAAACTGATGTAAATAAAAATATTACTCGGTACAGCCGCGGCTAATCTATGCTAGGCTATGGCTACTTAGCAAAACTTGGCATTAGGAAATTGTATGATTAAGACGTTTTGTTTAGTTTCTAACCAGATTTGTATTTGAAATCTTAATGAAGTGATTTGACAAATTTTGAGTCTGATGCCGTAACCTTATCCATATAAGAACAAAAATATTATTTGACGTTATGACATCATGCTACTTGTTTGTCATCCCTTTTTTCTCCTTAGTCAGGCTAAGTTGGCATTTTTCTAGGCAAGTAACTAAGCAATTGAATACTGGCAGATAACATATAATGAAACTCTTTTGTTGTGGGACGTTATTATTTTACCTTGAATATTCCACAATATTCCCTTGACATTATTTTTCTGGATTTTTTTCAAACAAATACCTTAAAAACATTCTGGCTTTGACTATGACTGCCTCTTCACAGATGAGACCTGTAACTTTATTGCATGTGGCCTGCTTTTCTCTATGGAGATGGATCAGTTAATATACTGTGGAAGATCCCAGCCAAAGCAAGAACATCTCCATGGAGACCAGCAGATCGCAGACCCTCCAACAGAATATTACATAGCACACCTTTAAGAGTAGAAAAGTTTCTCTTGTCAGCAAAATGTTATTTGACTTTTCTGTAATATGTAAATGTGTTGGACTTTTCCAGAATTTGTGTCTGAATCGAGCTGACTTCCTATCCCGCCACAGACTTCGTTTAGCACAGAGAAGACTTTACTCCACAGAGCCCAAAGGTAAAAAAAAAAAAAACTTTACTTATTATCAATAAGCAGTTAATATATTCTGTTACTGAAGATGTGCTGTTGTGTGATTTTTAGATGGTAAGCCAAGTGGGGCCCCAGGAGGTGGAACAGGTGGACCAGGTGGAGGTCGAGGAAAGAAAGGAGGAGGGAAGGACTGGTGGAGCCGAATGCAAAAGGTTTTGATCCATCATTTTGCTATACTCTGTCACACTCACTAAATGTCTATAATTTTATTTTGTCCAGGGCGACTTTCCGTGGGACGAGAAGGACTTCCGTTATATGGCCATCACTGTGGCCGGCGTCTGTTCTGTTCTGCTCTATTTCAATTTCAGAGATAGTGGCCGAGAGATCAGCTGGAAGGATTTTGTACATCGCTACCTCGGCAGAGGATTGGTGAGTGTCCTGTACTAAAATATGTTCCAATGAAAAAGTATTAAAATTATATTGGTAAACATTTTTATGCAGCCCTTTTCCACCTTTAAGGCACTAAAAGCGCTTACATATTCCTGTCACGTGATGCATTGTTGTATGCAGTTATTTAATCATGTTTTTTTTTCTGTAGGTGGAGCGATTAGAAGTTGTAAATAAACAATATGTCAGGGTAATTTTGATACCAGGAGCTGATACTACGGTAAGAATGATATTGCTTCTGCTATACTACTACTACTACTACTACTACTACTACTACTACTACTACTACTACTGTACTACTGTAGTCTGTCTTATTGCCTCTAGTATTTTTAAAAAAAAGTTACTTCTATTCATAATACAACAAGAAAAAAAGATAATTTTTAATACAAATGAATTTATCAGACAATGCGGGAAAAAAAGTGACACTGGGAGCCGTCGTAGTCTCCTCTGTTAATGGGAAACTCAATACTACACAAATCAAGCTGATCCGTGCTACATATTTATGTAAAAATTACAACTCTTTCAGAATTATGTGTGGTTCAACATTGGGAGTGTGGACACGTTTGAGAGGAACCTGGAAGCAGCTCACTCAGGACTGGGCTTAGAACCATCACACCGGCCTGCCGTGGTCTACAGCACAGAGAGTGATGGGTCAGTTCACCTTGGACATTCATATTAACAACTAACTAACTATCTGATGCATTTAAAATAAAAAGAGACATAATTTTTCTACTTTTTTCTTTTTGTGTCTTGTTTCCTGACAGATCATTTCTAATAAGCATGGTCCCCACGCTGTTGCTGATTGGTTTCCTGCTTTTCACTCTACGGCGAGGACCAATGGGAGGAGGCCCGGGTGCGGGGAGGGGCGGGCCTTTCAGCATGAGCGAATCTACTGCTAAAATGTTGAAGGATAATATAGACGTGAAGTTCAAAGATGTAGCTGGGTGTGAGGAGGCCAAGTTGGAGATCCTGGAGTTTGTGAACTTCCTAAAGAACCCACAGCAGTACCAGGACCTGGGAGCCAAGATTCCCAAGGTACACTTGTATGGCTTGTCATTCTATCTCTTCATGTACAAGTAAAAGTATCTTTGAGAGAAAGTGTTATATATAGAATGTATTATTGTAAAACAAGATGTCTGAAGAATGTACTTTAAGTCCTGTCACCATAATAATTTTAGTATTGCCACAATGCTAAAATTTCAATAGGAAAACTAATTTTAATAAAAAATATGTAAGTCTTTTCTTGCAACTTGGTTAAGAGTGCACTTGGAGAGGCCATTTGTGTATTTATGTTATCATAGTAATGATGATTTCTTACTGACTTTTGATTACTATCCCAGGGTGCAGTGCTGTCTGGTCCTCCAGGTACAGGGAAGACACTCTTGGCCAAAGCCACAGCTGGAGAGGCCAATGTCCCTTTTATCACTGTCAATGGATCTGAGTTTCTGGAGATGTTTGTGGGAGTGGGACCTGCCAGGGTAAGTAAAGGGATACATTTTAATAATAATTCAGTAAAAAAATTACTCCTCAGTTGTGCATCCTGGCCATAAGAGAGGAGCAAATGGGTCTTTCTTCTCAATAGATGTGATTTGACAGTTGAGTATTGAGTACAAAAGGGAGAATCAGAGATATTAGTATAGTATTATATTATTACCATAAGTGCAGTATACGTAAAATGTTTCAGTTTTTATCATAGCAGATTGCTTGTAAAAGTCATTATGATAATTGTATTCTTATCCAGGTAAGAGACATGTTTGCGATGGCCAGGAAGAATGCGCCTTGTATCCTGTTCATTGATGAGATTGATGCTGTCGGGAGGAAGAGAGGAGGAGGAAACTTTGGAGGTCAAAGTGAACAAGAGAACACTCTGAACCAGCTGCTCGTAGAAATGGATGGTGTGTAAAAATGCTCTTCTTCAAATGGATTTAGCATTCTAGAAAACTTCAATAAGCACTAAACTTGGAAAATTACTATTTAACTGTAGACAATTATGAAATTGCAAAAGCTACTTAAATAATAGAATGTCATCCTCAAAAAACAAAATGTCTTGTACCAGTAGTTGATTTTAATTTTTCATTTGTCATAGAAATTTGGACAACTAACTTTGCATTGCATTTTGACTTACCAGCTCCCACTAAGACAACAATCACACCTTTGTCTAAGAAATTGTAAAAAAAAAAAAAAAAAGAAAAAAAAAAAGAGAAACTCGGTAATTACAGGAATATTAACCATAATCCAGGACAATCTAGCTCAATTTTAAACTATACAAGTGGAGACTTTGCAGTTGTGTCACATGGCAAGATTTTAGTTCCATCCATCCATTTTCTTCCGCTTATCCGGGGCCGGGTCGCGGGGGCAGCAGTCTAAGTCTAAGATTTTAGTTATCAAACCTTTTTCTCCCAGGCTTCAACACTGCTACAAATGTGGTGGTCCTGGCTGGCACTAACCGCCCAGACATCCTGGACCCGGCTCTGATGAGGCCGGGGCGTTTTGACAGACAGATCTTCATAGGGCCTCCGGACATCAAGGGAAGAGCGTCCATTTTCAAAGTCCACCTACGGCCAATCAAACTGGACCCCAGCCTGGACAAGGATGCCCTCGCCAGGAAGATGGCTGCTGCTACGCCGGGCTTCACAGGTATTTTACTGTTTTTGTGTCAATCCAAAACGACTATAAAGGTGATAAGTATGTGTCAGTGTGTTTGATGAGTATATTTTTGCAGTCCATCAGAAAAGTGTTTGTGTTGGGTCAAGTATTGCAGAAAAATGAATGACCTGTATAGTTAAGAGACAAAGTATAGAAATATTTGGATGATTTAACAGCAATTTCTTATTTTCATTTTTTTCTTAAAATGTTTTGATGATACCTTTTAAAAATGTTCCATGTTATTTTGTGAACAACATATCCTTTGTCTTTATTTTTTAAAGTGTTGAATGTATTCTCTTTCATAAGGAGCCGATATTGCTAATGTCTGTAATGAGGCTGCACTGATCGCTGCCAGACATCTGAACCCAGCCGTCAATGGCAAACACTTTGAACAAGCCATTGACCGAGTTATAGGAGGTGAGTGAGCATACGTGCATAACCGTAATGGTGTCTGGCTATTATGCTTTAGGTCTGTATATGGAAGGCATTTCACACCTTTCGGCGAAATTTGCCATTTTGAAGCCGAAACAGGTGACCTACTTGAATCGTGTAGATTCGATGAGAAAAGTTTTATTTTTATTATTATTATCCAGGTTGGAATTTGAAAAAACAGGTTTAAGAATCCTACCCAGTTTATTCACTTTGAAGCAGTTTTCTGCAAAGTGCCGGTGAAAGTTCTCTAAAGAAGGGTCCAGAAAGGGGACACAGTGTTTAAGTGCAATACAGTTTGATTGGCTTATTTTAGGCCTAAATTAAAATTAATCGGATAAATGGAGGTAGATTTATAAAAAACACTGATATATATGTGCCATAATAACTGTAAAATACAAATAAATGCAGAAAATGACAAAGATGGTCTCGATTTGGTTTTGATGGACTGTGCTCTTGGTCATGTCTCGGTATCAGCTCTCAGATGTCTTGGTCTTGTCTCGGGACCCTGTGGTCTTGGACTGGTCTTGGTCTTGATTAATGCCCCCCCCCAACACACACACACACACACACACAGAGGCCACGTCGCACCCTTCTCAGCTTTTTCACCCCTGACCCGTTTTCATGCCTGATATGTGTGATTGAATGGATTTAGTTTGTCACTTCATATTTGAGTCTTCTCACAAATGTCACTGCTCCTGAAGTTGTTTACAATGTGCACTTTGAATAGAATCCTATTGTTTTTAATATACTGCAGTGCTACAGAAAAATGTGATTAGATTTTTGTTCCCAAAGCAGGTCTACTTTTAATGAGTCCAGTCCAATGACTGTTAGAAAAACACTGCAATTGTTACCATTTAACCATTTTTAAAACTGTGTGTGTGTGTGTGTGTGTGTGTGTGTGGGTGTGGGTGGGTGTCGGTGTGGGTGTGTGTGTGTGTGTGTGTTCGTGTGTGTTCAGGTCTAGAAAAGAAAACCCAAGTGCTGCAGCCCACAGAGAAGAAGACTGTGGCGTATCATGAAGCGGGCCATGCCATAGTGGGCTGGTTTTTAGAGCACGCCGACCCTTTGCTCAAGGTGCATTAATCTGAAATAAGGTTTCACATTTAAAACCTTTTCTGCTACCACCTTCTTCCTACCATCTTCTCTCAACCATCTTCTCTCTGTATGCAGGTGTCAATCATCCCACGGGGTAAAGGTTTAGGTTATGCTCAGTACTTACCCCGGGAGCAGTACCTGTACAGTAAGGAGCAGCTGTTTGACCGCATGTGTATGATGCTGGGAGGGCGAGTGGCAGAGCAGGTCTTCTTTGGGAGAGTCACCACCGGAGCACAGGATGACCTCAAGAAGGTCACCCAGTCTGCGTATGCTCAGGTATATACAGTTTTACATTTTTCACCCGAATGTAATTCATCATGTCTTAAGTCAGATTTCTGTTTCATTTATTCTACTAAGTAAACAGTAATAACCAAATTAAACAATTTTATACATTTTCCCTCCATCCCTTCTCCCTGCTTAAAATCTGCACCATACTGTCTTGAAATTAGTAATTCGTGGCTTTAAGATGAAAATGTTTGGTGGACTGTGAACCTGAATTTTAATACTCAATGTGCTAATCACTCATTTGAAGTTTAAACTTGTATTTTATTGTATTGTATTTCTGTGGACAGCTAAACTTAATATGAAAAAAGCTGTGTTACCGTTACATTCCACTGATGTAATTTATCTCGTATTTTCCTTTGAGGCACTAAACCTCTCAATACATTTATTTCCTCCACAATAATATCAACATAACATATAATTAAATATGTGTGTTTTTTTTGTGCGTCTCTCCTCCACAGATTGTACAGTTTGGGATGAGTGAGAAGGTGGGCCAGTTGTCGTTTGACCTGCCTCGTCAGGGAGAGATGGTCCTGGAGAAGCCCTACAGCGAGGCCACAGCTGAGATGATCGACCAGGAGGTGAGGGAGCTTGTGGACCGCGCCTACCAACGCACGCTTCAGCTCATCCAGGACAAGAAGGACATGGTGGAAATGGTGAGGATTACACGTTTTTGAATCAAGACTTTTTACTCTTCAACACTGGTCTATTTATTCTTGGGTACTTGACTTGTTTGAAGTTAACATGAAATGATTCAATAATAAAATGCAAGGTAGCATCAAGTATCATCATGTAAAGTCCATCATATTTTAGCCATGTATACAACAGGGGGTCAAGTAATTTTTTTCACTGCAATTTTGAGTCTTTGAATTTCATGAAACTAAAATGGTTGGATATATTTTTTTAATTTTACACCTTCAAAATTATAGAAAATTGTAATAGATTGTAATAGAAGTATATATCTCAAGTTGGAATTTGTCACTTTACACATTTACATTTAAATAGCACAGTGGCTCTGATTTTGAGTATTATTTTGTTTTTCAGGTTGGGAAGCGTCTTCTGGAGAAGGAGGTGCTGGACAAAGCAGACATGGTGGAACTGTTGGGCCCACGTCCCTTTGAGGAGAAGTCCACTTATGAGGAGTTTGTGGAAGGGACTGGCAGCTTTGAGGAGGATACGACTTTACCTGAAGGTTTAAGGGACTGGAACCAGGAGAGAGGAGCCACGGAGGAGAGCGAGGACAACAGCCAAAAACAACAGGCTGTATAACATGGACAAACACAGATCACAGATCAAGTATACAGTACTCTGCACAGAGCCTGGGGATGTCAGGAAGTACTCTGCTTAATGTGTGTTGACACTATGCTTTTCAATTTCATGTTTCATCTTTCATATTCTATCATATGCAACCATTCTGAAAGATAAGCTTTATTTAGATATACAAATAACATAGATTGGTCAAACTAATGGAAATTATTTAATTTCTGCGATAAAGAAATATTCTGAGGGTATTATATGAAAATATAATAATAATAAAGTAATACGCATTTTAAAGGTGCACTATGCAGCTTTTTTGGTGGAGGGTCTGTCACACGCTTGTCTCCATGGAGATGTTCTTTTTTTGCCTCGGCTTTCCCACATTAAGGCTTTTAAGTTATCTTTCGATATAGAAATTCAGGTGATGCCACCAGGCCAAGTATATAGGTCAGATCTGTTGAGAGGTGTGCTCCTGTAAGAATGCATGTTTTTGAAAGGTGTTTTTTAAATAAAGAAACACCACACTCACCATACTGTGGAACAGCCAACCAAGTACGTGACATACATTCCATTGGAAAAATTGCATAAATGCGTCATGAAAACATCCATATCCCACTATGAAAAGTGGAGCATATCACCTTGGTTATTGGTGTTACTCTATATTAGCTCATATTATTCGCTTACAATGCAGTATTTCAGTGCATAATGTTACAAATATAAGACCGGTAGTCAAATCAACAATAAAACATTTTCCAATATTCTACAAGATTTTGTCCTGATGTCAACCAGGCTCTTACCCCCGATACTTCAAATGCCTTAAAATGAATCAACCAACAGCAGTGTCCTGTTCCAAATCTCTCACAGTGATATTGTGAATGAACTGAATTCCTTTAGTTTTTTGTATTTATTTTATATAAAGTAAATATTTGAAACATGCAGCCCACGTGTCTGCAGGAGTATCCGAGTATTTTTACAAAGTGGATTCCAGTGACATTTTATCGTGGCTGCGGTTTCCTATGTGACCTGTCCACACTGGTTTGGAGCTCCATTGTATTTGCTGTTTCTGTGACAAAGAAGCTGCTAAACATCACCATCGTTTTGACTGATCTAAAAAGTGTCATGAGCCCTAAATGTACGAATAATTTAATAAAAGCTCTTACAGAATTTGTAAGCTCTCTTTTTAGACAGAAGAGTGGGTTACTTCACTGCATTTGGTTGTCTTAGTCAAGCTAGTTTGAAAAATGTGTCTTATAGTTTGTCTTTGTCCAAAGATAAGCACATTTAAATATTATAACACAATTGAAACATCTGCCTGTTGAGTGTATACATTTTAACTAAACAGTTCATGTAATATGTGAAGGGTCTGCCCACTTGCTTGCCTTTAGTCATGGAGTAATTTTTTTGGAATGCTACACAGTATAACTTTATACGCATCTTATCTCCAGGGAGACAAGCCACCAGGTCAGATTACTGGTTAGATCGGTGGATAGAAGACACATGTACATGTTTTTAGGTATGTGCAATAAAAACACCTGTGATTGAAGAAATGCAAAAATATAAGCTTAATGCCATATTGTGGAACATTCAGGCAAAGCAAAGACATCTCCATAGTGGCTACCATTCATTTGAGAAGTTACTGAGTGTACCATTAAGTCTACTGAATATACATGTTGCCTATGTTTTGCGTCCTCTTAAATTACCCTTTGTGGAACATGAATCAGAACCATACATTAACTTAAAAAAACCCCAAAAAACTAGTTGGACAAAATCTGAAATAATAATACACAGAATAGAAGTATTTCTTTATTTTCATACTCTTTTTTTTTTTTTTTTTTTTTTTTTAGCACCTAAACAAAACACCATCTGGAGGATTCTGACCAAAGCTTTAGCACATTCATGTCTCTAAAATCTCACTTAAAGGCAACAACCCTGCATTTGTTTTACCATATTCTCATATCAATAATTGTTTAGCTATTTTTAAATATTTGGTATAATATAATATGATGCAATTGTTAAGGATTTTTAAATAAACTTACTTGAATACACTGTACCATTTGAACACTCATGATCATTTTTAGTCCTGCTTAGTATACATTAAAAATATTTCCATAATTCCACATGTTTTTAAAATTAATGTAAAACTTTATGTATATACAAGTATCAAAAACTACAAAGATGCTACATTCTCAGCGTAATAATGGCAACGTTTCTCCTCGAGCTGCACTGGTTTCACATGCCCAGAAGGGGGCACTGTGTCTCCCTTCACTGTCCATAAGTCCTCTCCTGCAGAGCTGACACAGACCAGAGTAAAGCACAGGTCAGTCTGATAAACTATAAAAGTAATAGCCCTTTTTCTCTTGAGGTGAGGCTTTCAAAGTCAGCAGTCCTTTGGCTTTAGTCAGAAAAACACAGCTCCTCCGTCTTGAAGACTGGTCTGGAGACGCTTTCTATTGGTTTAAGTCCAGTGATGTCGGAGTAGTGAAATGAGCAGAGATGCAGAGAAGAGGGACAGAGACAGAGAAATGGCATTTGCACCTCCACAGTCTTTAGCATTCTCCTGAAAATAAAAATTAGTCAGTTAGGATAATTAATTACATGCTATTCCCACAGCTTAGATTAAATAGATACTTCGCTATCATAAAAAATATCTTCTGATTTACTTTTCTTCAAGTTCACAGACAAACTGCAGCTGAGTGCGGCAAGCTACTACTGCAACCACAGCTGCCCTGGGGCAGACTGACAGACGCAAAGCTGCCAGTTTATGGCAACGGTCCCTCAGACCAACACCAATCTTCCACTAAGTATTTTGGCATGGACACAACAACAGTATACACTACTACAGCCAATGTCTCTCAGCAATTTAAAATCCAAATGTTAATCAGGCCCAATACCAATTTTGTTTTGGCTGAAACATAAAATTAATAAACATTTAAGTCATAAAAAAGATTGAATAGTCAGTATAGCCAGCACAGACCTTTGGGTGATAGGCGTGGCAGGACTCTGGTCTACGTCGTACTTTCTGTGACTTCATCCTGTTACATTTGAGTGTGGCATTATGTTCACTGATGTTAAGGGAAATATGACTCCTCAGACTATAGCTAGTACCATACACTGAATTATTACTAGTACTATAATTAACAGCTATTAAACAAAAATTTGTCCTACAATCTGTTGTTTTGCCAAGGCTATACCGGAATAACCTGGCTCTTGCCAGATTTATATGTGTAGCCCTCTGAATAGAGTTCTACACATCAGTCTGGGATGGCTCTCGCAGAACACTTTGATTGATTGAAGCATCACAATAGTGGAACAAGCCAAAAAATCACTTTTGTTAAATCCAGTTGAGAGAAAAGCACAGATATCTTACCTGTCCACAAATGCACAAATCGCTTCCCTCTGCATGTTTTTCACAAACTAGTCTGTATTATTTCTTCTAAAAACAAGATGGATTCTCAAGAGTTTATGAACTCACAAAAATCTCCAGAATTCATCTTGCTGACAAGGTTAGTATCGAAAACAATATGTTTCAATATATCAAGCCGCTCTCCCTTCTACTAAATACTTTTACGTTTTTGCAGAAGCATGCAATCTTAAAACTTTGGAATATAAAATAAATGATAACACTGTTGGGGCTTTTTGGAGCCTCCCAACAATATTTAAAATTAATGATAATATGTTTGTCAACACTGTGATCAGAATATTTTATCTTTAATAAATAATCAATCAATGCTGCCCTCTTGAGGACTGTGTGCATTATCCAATGCGACTGAAAGATGAACAAACTGTGTATTATTATCATAGTTGCGTGCGTCCACTGCCCTTTGTCTGTCTGTAGGTAAAGGATATATTTGATGTCTTTGGGCTGCAGCAGGATCGCACCATACTGACGAGAGCAGTCACAGTCAGCCTGAGTCACCACCAGCACCAGGTTACTGTCTGGGATCTGCTGCACCACGAACATCCTGCAGGGGGCAACAACATACACAAGAGATCATCATACCATTATAGCATTGTTACTTACCATATTTTTATAATTATTTAGGTTTTGAGAGTATGGTAAACATTTTTATTGGAGGGTAAAGCATCTGCTTGTTTCAATGTAAATGTTACTGCTTTGCCTGGAATGTTCCACAGTACAGCATTAAACTTGAACCTGAAAAACATGCATTCTAAAAGTACACAGATCTGACCTATAACTCGACCTGGTGAAGTCACAAGTTTGCCAAAGCAACAATGGAATATTTGCTTTTTATGTGATGATTGTAATTTACCCAAATGACATTCACTTGAACATGCATACTAAGAAACTATCTGTATATTTCCTGTATTCCAAACACTGAGTTAGTGGATATTGTGATACTAATTCGAACAGATAAAAGTAGTTGTTCGTACTTCTGGCAGCGTCCACACTTGATAAGACTGTTGGCTTCCTTCACACTGGGATCGTACATGAACCCAGGATACCCAGTCTCACAGGGAATGTACGCCTCCACCTTCTTCTGTTTATGACCTACACACAAATACACACACAAAGTTATTCACATACCATTGTACTACAGTTTACCTTAGCTCCTGCTCCGATCTGTACTCACTGGTATGATATCCCGCCTTGGCTAATGGTGACATGATCAGATGAAGACACCAAACACCCAAGCATGGACACAATGATGAAGATGATGATGAAGAGGTCATATGAAGAGGATAGGACACAGGACATAATGTGACAAGAAGAACAATGTAATACAACACCAATGACTTCACAATGGGATTCAGTAATGGAGCTCTACAGTCGCTCCCACTTCAATGCCTGTTCTGAAAGTAAATTTGTTATTTTTCCCCATAGACTTTTTGAAAACTTTGATAAAAAGAGTTTAAAGGCATTTTCAAATATAGATTCACTCCAAGCAAATGTATAATTTTTTAAAGGTCCCATATTACACTAAATGGACTCTCGTGACTTTAAGCCATGTTAAAATGCCATTACCTCCTCAAAAACATAGAGTTATGTTTTGGTTTCATTCACACATGTTTGAGAAACCCTTTATTATTTGTCTGTCTACATCTCCAAAGCTCAAATTGCTCTGTTCCACCTTATGATGTCATGAAGCAGTGGTTTACAACAGCTACCTTGTACATTTTTTGAGTAGAGATTGGATATTATAGAGCTGGAATAATCAAAATAATTCTAGTGAATGTGTATGAAGTTTAAAAACAGTGGAGCACTTCCTGTATTGCAACATGACATCACAAGGTAGAAGAGAGTGTTTTCAGTTTGAGAGAAGAATTCAGCCTAAATATTCAAGGTGTGTGAAGAAACAATATTAAAATAAAACAACATAAAATAAATCTAGAACATAGTGTACTACGGGCCCTTTAAGTCTACGGGTGGGTGGTCACAGTTGAGCTCCATAAAGAATGGCAAATACAGAAATGATAGTACAGTACATGCTTTGTTATTTAGTTTAGTGTTATCTTAAAGATGAGAAGGACATTCAAAAGGTTGTAATAGTTTTATTCTGAGTCCTGTTAAGTGTATTATTGTAGGTCTAAAAAAGTGATACCTTCCACAAAATAATCAGAGTGCCAAAGCCCACAGAAGTTAAAGTCCAGAAGAAACCTTTGGAATAGAAACAAACATGAATTATATTTCTTGTAATTTATGAAAATGATTTATTTAATGGCAACGGTAATTGAAGTTCGTTCACACTTACATCAGTGCATGGGAGAAGAACCATCTGATCAATGCAACGATTCCATAAAAAGGCTATACAAAGAATGACAAGTTAATACAGTTAAAACCAGTGAATATTTAATGTTTTTTTTACACTAATAGTACTTACACTCAGAAGAGGCCGAGCGCTGCTGTGAGAGTGGTGGCTGTTTTTACACATGGCCTGGTAGTCAAACAAGGAAATCCTACCAGAAAAACAATAATATGGTCAGTTATATAATTTAATTAATTTTATTATCTCTAGTCTACACCATAAGGTTCACCAAGTTCACTACAGTCAATGGGATGGACTTAAATAAGATAAAATAATATAAGAAAATGTCCTACTTCTTATACATGCCCATCTTGAGCAGGGAAGCCATGACAGAGCCGTCCACTTCACCAAAGAAACGGCCAATCTGAAACAGCACACAGAGGAGCATGCACAGTTAGTTTGAAAAAATAAAAATAAAAAATACTCACAGAATAAATAGAAAAACACAAACTCCTCATCATCATTCAGTTCATTTTACAGTAATTTTTTATTTGTGTGTACACAAAGAAATTTGATCAGATACTAAAAAATCAAAAGGCTTAAAACATCAGTGGCTACTTATAGCACTAGCAAAACAAGCTTGGTGGGTTGGGAAATTTGACTGCTGCATTTATCTAGTGATAAAGTATGAACATGACATGAAATTGGCTGGTTGCCTGAGACACACCATTTTTAACAATACCACAATTATATTATATTTTGGAACTGTATCCTCTCTATGATTTCCAAGCATACTTGACAATCAGACAAAAGGACGGTAACGCAAAAGGACAGTTGGTTTATCAACCCAAAACATGCTACATAGGTCTCCAGAACAGTTGATAGTCAAGGTCAGTTAAAATATAATCAATTCAATCATTGTGTCCTTTGGCAAGACACTTCACCCACATTGCCTAGTATGAAAGTGGTGTGTGCGTGAGTGATGGTGGTGGTCGGAGTGACCGATGGCGCCAATTGGCATGGCAGCCGCACTTCTGTCAGTCTGCCCCAGGGCAGCTGTGGCTACAATAGTAGCTTACATCAAAAGGTATGGAGCAAATGAATAATGGTGAATAATGCTCTGTAAAGCATCTTTGGGGACAAAAAATGTATCTGAAAAGCGCTATATAAATAAAGACTTACTTATTAAATATTTTATTCTGAAGGTTACAAGGATATTTAGGGAGATGAATTCCTCATTTGAGACACAAATTAGTGTCTGTGATTGGATCTCAGAATTGGACAGCTGTCTGATGCACTTTATGGACTGGTACCAGACCCTCTTGCATTTGAACAGAAAGTAGGAGGAACTGGAGAGCCAGTGGAAAAGGGCGTTTGGAGCTAGAAGACTGAATATGCAGGATTAACAGAGCATGCATATGGGTAAAAGCATTAAAATGTTTATCTAGCATAATATAACCTCTTTAATACTGCCACCATTTATTTCCGTGTGTCCTGCCCATGGTCCAGACATTTGTTGTAAGTTATTTCATTTAATAAAGTAAGGAGCTTGTAAATTATTCAAACCACTGCCCTTTGAGACTGAACACAACGGTGAACGATCCACACACCTTTTGGAAGTCTTGCATTCAATTATTCTCCTGCAATTTATTTAAGCTCTGAGGGAGATTTGTCTTTGGAAAAACTCCGCTTCAGCCCAACACAGACTGCATTATGCACAAGCTATAAGAGAAGCTGGACAACAGATGGAGGGGAGCAGAGGAGCGGGGTTTGTGTAGTAGTGGACTAAGGAGTCGAGTAAGAAAACCACGCAGGAGGAGAAATGCGGCCGTGCACATTGCTTAACACTGATTTAGAGCCGTGTGATGTGTCTGCTCTGGGCTCTGGGCTGCGGCCTCAGCACCACTCGTCTGAATTATTCAAAGCATTCAGTCTCCACAGCTCCGCAGCACTGGGTTTTACAATGGAGTCTGTGAGGGCTTCTCCCAGCAGCCTTGGTGTTAAACAGACTGCTGCATATAGAGTAGAATCTGTGGGCTTTTCTGCACCTGATAGAGCTGGGCAGAGGTGGAGTAAAAAACAGCTTTGAACCATTGGTAACTATAATAACTATTATTAGTAATTATAACTAGTTCACACAAGGGAAGAAATAAGAATCTGTAACACATTGAGTTTGATAGGTTGGAGTAGTGAAGCAACAAAGTAGTAGTATTTATGTAGTAAGTAATTGCTTTTAGTATTAGAATTAAACTATAACATATGTTATATCATTGTTTTATATTTTATTCAATGGAAAACTACAATATTTATTAAGTGTTTAGTAACAGAAAGTGACTGACTTCCTGTTCAGTACTGCAGAACTGATAGGCCCCTGTAGAACTAAGAGAGGAATTCCACAGCAAGCAGCAATTTTTTATTTCTGTGTTGTTGTTTTTTTATTTCCTTAACTCTTTATATGTAGAACCAGCAGTGTGAACCTTTTGGAAGTATTTCAAGTACAGGGCAGAGCGCAAAGATAGGTGTAGGTCTGTCACAGTCTTGCTACCTTTGCCACTCAACAAATTGCCTCACAACTATTCATGTAAAAGCACTTTCTATTATGTAACTCCTCATCTGTACTACAGCAGGAGCAGAGCAATCAGCCTCCTCAACTTCTCCTTCTTCTCCTCATCACCAGTGTCTAAAAACCCAAATGTTATGTATTTTAACTAACAAATGCAGCAAATATTCACACCATCATTCATACACAGTCACACCAGCCAGATGATTGACGTGCCTTGCCCACGTTTTCTTTTTTAATTCTTTGAGGGTCCACTTGGGATTATAAATGTGACATCAGCGAAATTTGACCATGTGTTTGTTTGTTGTCAGCATCAGTGCCAGAAGGAGAAGCAGGAAGGGGGAAGAGAGCCAAATTTCTGCAGCATCCTTCACCTCTGGGAGCAATTGAACACATCGCTACAAGCACACTATCTTATTACAACTGCATCAGGACGTTAAGGCCGCATGTTAACAAGTGTGAGGGGGGAAACCTAGCTTAAACTCTGGCCATAAAACATGAATACGGAAGAGACTTTCTAATAATGGTGTTAAAAAGAGGTGCATATAAAAGTAGCATTGCATGTAATATTTCATCAAATTCGTTAGGTTTTAATGTTGTTTCCTCATCACAAACACACCCGGATTTTTGTTTTGTTTCATTAACATGTTGAACCCACAAGCTCGACATATTTGGGCTAGTTTAGGCTATCTTAGTTCATCTCTAAAACTGAAAGTACATTGTTCCACCTTGTGATGTCATGTTGTAATACAGGAAATGCTCCACTGTGTTTTTAAACTCCATACATCTTCACTAGAATCATTTGGATTTCAGCCCTGGAATTGCCCATTTCAGTCCTGGAATAGCAAATCTCTATTGAACTAAAAGTAAATCTAGCTGTTAACTTGAAAACTACCATTTCATGACATCACAAGATGAAAATGAGCATTTTGAGCTTTGGAGATGCACACAGACTAATAAAAAGGATTACTCATGTGTGGAGGAAACAAAACATAACTCCAGGTACGTTTTTGATGAGGGACAACATTCTAATATTTAAAGCTCATAAGAATCCATTTTTGTGTACCTTTTTGTGTAATACAGGACCTTTAAGTTGGTGGTTTAATCCCAGCTCCGACCAGTAATGTTGCTGTGCCCTTGTGCAAGACACTCAAATTTTATGGACTGGGCATAATTTCTGGATCTCTAATACTGACTATTGAGGTCTAAAACTATGTTTTTCCTACTAACTTCTGCTCAGATATGTTATGTCATAGCTCATTTTAAAACCCAGAACCTTTGAAATAAAATCGTTGGCTTGTTGATGCAGAAAATGCCAGACAGCTTTAGCCCAAAACAGCTATTAAGGAGATAAACACCATTTTATTGACAAGCCCTGGTATCAGCTGGTATGAGCAAATTCTAAAACTCTGAAATGAAAAGTTGGGGGATCCCATATAAATGAGTTGGGTGAGTGATGCATTTGAAGGGGTCATAAGCACAGACTGTCAGCCACACTTAGGGCAGCTGGCAACAGTTTTGGTTAGTTTTTAGCTAAGTGGAGGAACACAACTTTTCCATGTAATTTAGTAAAATGTCTTTAGATTCTAAATACATATATCAAAAGTTCCATGTGGACTAATATTCTTATACTTGCATATTTCTATATAAAGTACATAAGTGAAGTACATACTGTAGTTATATTATTCACTTTGTAGGTGTACGTTCATTATATTTACTCTAAATTCATAGTAATTACTTGAGCCGATTTTTGCCTATTAGACTTTATCACAATTACATTTACTTACAGCAAACCACTTTGTGAATATTGGATTATTTTGATCACTAAGCCATAGTGATGAGATTAGAGGCCACACTTGAAGTCTACTGACCCACGAGTGTAAAAATAGCCCCATACACATAGGTCACTGTCAAGGTAACATGTAAAATGAATCACTATTGATTTATGATCATGCAAGCCAGCTGTATTAATAGCTTTACCATCACCACCACGACCATGGCCCAACCGGCAATATGAACATTCATAAATCATATGTACTTTATCTTTCTTGATGTCTTAAATATTTTTCAACTGTGTATATGGTGATCACTGAAGATAAGCAATAGTAATAAAGTTTTATGTGTCCTATTAAAACATACAAAACCAGTGAAGATAAAGTACTATCTTATCACATGTTATTTGATTGCATTGATTGGTATCCCTTAGTAACCCATTTCCTTAAACCTGCAGCGGCTTGATTTCTCTTTAATTAAATATTTACACCACCCTCTAACACCACATGGACACAGCCACCTTGCCTCTTTGCTTACAGGAACCAGGGAGAATTCTGGGTAGTTTCCTTATGCTTCCTGTAAAGCCCACAGCTCAGCAAAAACATGGAGGATGCAGTTTATCATAATATCTGCTTAGTAAGGTCGGATGGAACGCAGCAGACATACAAATAATGAAAAATGAGAAAATAAATATAAGGCTGTTTCTCTTCATTTGGGTTTGTCATGCCACAGCAAATTGTCTTATGGTACATTTCAATGTGCTATAGAGCTTATACCAGCAACTAGGGGCCTTAGGCAGTACACACTCTAGACATTATCAACATTAAGAATTAACTATAACCCAACATTTAACACCACTAATCAAGTCTTTATTGTCTAAATACCACAAAAAAAACAACAACACACATTTATCTGCCATGTCCAAATTTAAGATCTGTAATCAAGATAAACTACAAAACTTGCATTTAAAGGCCCTGTATGCAATTTATTCTCCTGTTTTTGAGGAAATTTGTCTTTCCCCAGTATAGATATATTGTTTAGGCAGCTCTTGAGGTCAAAATAAGACTGCTGTGTGCTGTCTGCATCCAATTATAAAAGGTTTTGCTGTACGATAATCAGGAGGTGCACTGTTAGCATGCTAGTTGTTGTAGTTACCATTACCACAACGGCAAATTCTGCTCTGGCCTCTAAAAATTGTGAAAAGCTCTTATAAACTCATTGCGGTGAGTGACTAGGATGCTCAGAATGGATAAGGTAAGTGAGGAATAACTTTAGACACCTGCAAATGTTTTTAAAATGTTTGTGCCACAATAAAAATATGATAGCGCGCCTATAAAGAAAACTGTTGTATGGTTCTGGGTTGCACACATGACGAAACAAATGTAGTCTTTGGCTAAACTGATTTAATGACCTTTTAAAGCATGAGTGATTTGTTTGTTTGGGGGAGACTATGCATACTAATGAGCGTAATTGATATGTGCATTCCATCTGTTATCCTGCGTTTAGAAATATTCATACACAAGCGTACGAAGACATGGGATCAAATGTGGGTGTGGTGTCTTGCCCAATGACACAGACTCATGCATCTGTCAGAGCAGTAGTTCAGTAATTGGACTGCTGATACTACTGCTGCGGCTTCATTTGCATCAAGCTTTATTCATCAAGTATACTGATACTTTGCAGTGGCATTAAGATGGCGGGGGGTCAGACTGTGTTAAAACAAAGATCAGATTAAAGCCTAACTTGAGTAACAGAGCTTCAAACAGACCAGTGCCTCCAGTTAGCACCACACACCCAAGACATGCATCTGCAAAGTATGAATACATTTGACCTATTGTTGAAATCTACAGCCCTATGTAATGCATTGTGAAGCCCACATTGGCAGTGGTATATAATGGTATGGGGCATGAGCATTGGGGCCTAATCCGCAGTGATATGGCTCTTAACAGACTGAGTTAATCCCGGGCTAACAAGCAGCTGTCAGATGGACAACAGCTTTGGAGAGTGCCCTTTTCCCTTGGCTACAAACACAAACACCGCACAGGCCTCTGGACCAACATCAACCCAATATGAAAAATGGAATTTGGGCTGATAAATTAGATTCTTTGGAGCGCTGACATTTTAGTGGCCCCAATTAGACACACTGCGGTGTTGAAAGATTGCAGCGCCAGTTAAAAAGTAATTAAGATTTCTATTAAGAGTTTTTCATTATGCTATTGCAACGATGCTGCTCCTTCAAGGATGAAAGTAAGGATATGGAACAGTGTGTCTGGAGGAATATTCAAAATTATTACAAAATTGTAAATTAAAAAGATTTGCAATACAAATTTGTAAATGAAAAAGATTTGTAATACAAATATTATAGTCACTAGCCAATTCAATTTGAGCATGCTCATTCCTCTTCTGATTTCAGACGCTAGGGGGATGGGCCTTGGGAATATGGTGCTATAGGCAGAAGTCAGTCTCATTCATACTCTTAACCAACTTCAGCTATCTTGCTTAGTGTGAATGTAATCCTTGATGGAAGTGAGGCTGCCAATCTGCACCTTTGGGCCTTCCAACCACTCATAGTCTACCTCATTTTACCACCCTCGAGAATTTAGATGAATACAGCACATTTTGAGAAATTTGACTGATACTTTAACATTACTAGAATTTAAGAAATTGTTATGGTTTTTGAATATAACATTTATATATGACATCTGATTTAAAAAAAATGTAGTTTAGTAGGGATGGATGATATATTGGTTCCTATATTGGCCAATATTGATCTTTTTTTTTTCTCTCTCTTTTTTCTCCTGTATCTGTATCTCAGTGAGTGTGTTTCGGATTTATCCTTTTGGCTCATGGGTAATTGAAAAAATGGAAATAGAAGGGGGTTATATGCCAGTATGTTTACATAAAGTTAGTGATCTTGCTATGGATTTTAAAAAATATTGGTATCTGCAAATATGGCAACATTTTATGACTACAGGGATATAATGCTGTTTATAAATGAACACAAATATAATTAGTAAAAAAGTTATTATGCAATATTCATATTTTTCAGCAGTGCCTTACAGCCTCTCCGCATTCTCACAGCCCCACCCCTGTACAGAAGGGCAGTGTGGAGCAGCTGTGTGTGTGTGTGTGTGTGTCTGTCCCCTCTCTCACTGCACACTGATTAAACGTGCTTAAATGGGGCAGACGCGCACAGATGTTGTTTATGAGTGTAGCCGTGATCCGCAGAGTGAAGATTTAGAGTCACCTTTTCAACTGATACACTCCAAAACTGATGAGGCCACAGCACTATTTTATTTAATTTAACATGCACCAAAGTAACCCAAAACAACCCTAAATGAACCTTTTAACTGGATTTGGATGGGATTGATAATTGTGCATGTGTAAATTACGACAGTTTTATTAAATTGTTTGTCCTAACATAATTTATCTATAAGGAAACAAAAGGGCAATGTTTTTAAGTGAAATATGTACATTTTTATAGGAAGGGTCTGGTCCGCCACCTACTTGGCTCCATGAAGATGCTATTGATATGCCTGGAGAGTTCCACAGTATGTCATTAAACCTGACCAGGTGTAGTTAGAAGTCTTGGACTTCATTTATAAAGCCTCCATACACATAAAACAAGGTCAGAAATGTGCGTATGCAGCTCATCACGTCAAAGTTGGTATTTATAAAAAGCAACATTGAAACATTGCTGACCTCCACGCTAAGTCTGGGGCTTGCATATGTGGTACGATCACAGCTCAGAGGTGTGGGAAGCAGCGAGGAAACAGTTAGTTTAAAAATCATGTTTGGTGGAAGTTTAAACCTGTTAATTTTGACAGTATTTTCCCAGAAAAAGAAACATAATCTAACTGTACTGTGTGCATTTAGTCACAAGCGTGTGGGAAACATACACAATTTATTTGAGTATCGTAAATTTACTAAGTGTTGCGATCATTAGGGAGGAATAGGTGCTCATCCACGTGCACCAGAGCGCACTGTTACTAGCTGACACTGATGTTGACTGATCCTCGCAGTGTCACTCTGTCCTTGTATAAAGTGATCTCTGGACACACGTCTGACCCACAGAGGAAGCACACGTTCAAAAGACAATCAAAGTTGGACTGCAATCACGGGCACAGAACCGCGGCTCTCTCCTCCCTTTACACACGCACCCACCCACACCCACACCCACACACACACAGAGCATGGCTAAGTGTTCGCCTCTCCTCTCTCAAACCCACAGACCTCCGCATACGTGTGGCTACAATGTGGCCGAAATTAAACACATCCACATATTCCCCATGCCCCCTCCGCACGCACACACAAGGACCATGGCGCAGACACTACATCCAGTCCTACATCCATGCAAACCTGTGCGTGCAAGAGGATGCACAAAGTAATATGAGAATTAAACAGCATATTCCACGTATGAATCATGCTTTTTATAGGTGCTCCAAAACATCAGTCGTTTCAATAAAGCACTTATTTCAAAATGATTAGATGACAGGATAAGTCTGTATTAAAATGTTGTTTCAGGAAAGAGGAGTTCACTTTTCTCTAAAGCTCTTCGAGCCTATGTCCTCTGCTACTGTGTCTCCCCTGTGTGTCCCTCCTTATCCCCCTGTGTCAATCAAACCATTACTGGCTCATTATCGGCTCATGTTTGGATAAATCTCATTCAGAACTCCTTTTATGGTGAAATGGAGGCATTAAAGGGGCGTGGCGTGAGGTGGGATCATGTGCACAGGTTTGTGCTGCTGGTGTGATATGAGAGGAATGTGCGTGAGGGAATGCGGCACAGATTTTATAAATCCAATATTTTTTCACCTACGTGAAATTTGTGTTTTTTCCATACAAACACTTTCAAGTAGATTTTGACCCACTCTTTTATAAAAGAGGAGACCCTACTCATAGTTAGAATCCATGTTTGTAATGCTTTTCTAACCATTAAAAAAACCTCTACATTAATAATAATAATGCAGCATAGTTAAGGTTAATGCCATACTGTGGAACAATAACCTCGTTATGGAGACAAGTAGGTAACTGAGAACCCACCACAAAAGTTACATAGTGCACCTTTAAACAACCTACCTCGTCTCTCTCTTTGGAAAGCACGATGAAGCCATTATTGTCAACCAAGAAACAGTTGAGATCCTAAAAAACAAACAAAAAGTCTTCAAATATTTCAGTGTAAAGTATGTTTAAATAAATGCCAAAAAAAAAAAAAAGAATAGTTAGCAGTACTTACAGCACTCTCACAGCTGAGGGGACACACACCCTCAATGTTTGAACACTGAAAATTAAAGTTTATCATTATAAAAAAGATATTAAAAGAATACCTGTAATAATAATATGTGCCAAAGATTTTATACTCACATCTGTATCAGGGGGCTGCAAAATACAATCAAAAGTCAATATACAAAATAATTACATTTAGCACAGTGGCTTTCTTATATAAGACAAGGTATGTAAAGGCATTTTGGGTTTAACTATATAATTAAAAAAGTTCACAGAACATTCTAAATTGCCCATAGTTTCCATTTTTAAAGAATTATTCTATGCAATAATTTACCTGTCCAAATGCTTAGGCTTATTATGTGGTTAATATCTCAAATTCAATGACTATTGATTTTTTTTTTTTAACTCAACAGAGTTAAAAAGTGGTATTGTTCTTCCTTTTTAACCTTAACCTTAAGTTTCACCATTCACACTATGAATTCTGAAATTGGTTACTTCTTCCAAAAACAGTAAATTGTCCTTAGAGCTATACACGCCCCTGCCCGCTACCTAAAATTTTCACACTGATTAATTCTATACTTTTACTAATGACAGTAAATACATTTGACATTCAACTCAACGCTAATCTTCTTTTATTGTTTGAACCTGCTGCCAGCTCCTCTCCTCCATGTGCAGTCCTTCAGAAACAGTATCTTTCCCTGCTTCCTGAATGGAGGCAACGTTTCATTCAGAGTAAATGTGTCTGAGCGGTCAGCAGTCTGTCAGAACCCATTACAAACCCTTATCTACCCCCCTCGACCTCCACGGGCCCGTCCTGCTTCAGTGCACCACGGCTGGGACAAGGTCAAACACTCATGGACTAGATAATATCCCCTCTATAAACTATCAGGGCTAAAATACAGATAAATTGAGCTCTTTTGAAAATCTGCCCTAAGCCCTTTAAGTTTATGAAAGACTATTTTAGGCAATTTTCACTTTTAATCTCCAAGTGTAAAATCGGAGAGTTAATGCGTTTAATTAATGGCTTCTGTTCCCAGTTGATCATAAAGAAGTTTGAAAAGAGACACAAGGTCATCTTGGTACAAGTGCTGCAGGACAGAATGTATTCAGTCTTTACTTTTCAATATAAATATAAAAAATTTGAAAGACTGACATTAATAGCTAACAGATAGCCTTGCTCTGACTACTGAAAGGCAAAACTCAATCTGTTGCATTAATGAGATTGAATGGATTGCTGTTATGGTTGTTACAGTAAATAAATGGTTGTGAATTAGAAATGTATACAATTTTTGGTATATGTAAGTGCACAGAAGCTAAATTGGATATATGAATAAAAACACACTTCTTAACAACAATGTAAAATCTTCATACTAATAAAATATGTAAAATATAAAAGAGTTCCACTAGATAAATGTGCTTGAGTAAAATTCAAAGATAAGTAAATATTTAATTCCCTCTAAGGAGGGAATTTGATTATTGTAATTGTAAGTACGGTCAAATGAATCAGTACCCAGTAAATACTAATTTCAACAAGTACTGATTCTGGAAAAAAAAAAAAGTTACCTTTTTGATATGGTTTATGGTCTGAATCTAAGGAAACTACTATTACTTTTTGTTGAAACACAAAATAACTACATTACTTTTTCCTTAGCACTGAAACATTAATAATGATATTCAAATATATTCTCAAATATCTGTGTGCTCAATTTTGCAAAAAAATTGTTGAGTTGTCTTTTGTTTCATTCACACATGCTTAACACACAAATACTGCACATTTAGGCTGTGTTCTTTACTGAAACTGAAAACACTCCGTTCCACCTTGTGATGTCATGTGATAAGGAAGTGTTCCACTGTGTTTTTAAACTCCGTATACCTTCACTAGAATCATTTGGATGATTTCAGCTCTGGAATTGCCCATCTCTACTGAACTAAAGCTGTTAAGTTTAACACTACCATAAATGACATCACAAGGTGGAAAAGAGCATTTTGAGCTCTGGAGATGTTGACAGATTAACAAACCAGGCATATTCAAATGTGAGAATGAAACAAAACACAACTCCAGGTTGTTTTTTGATGAGGTAACAGCATTATAACATCGAAAAACTTTCAGCCTTTGTGGCTTAAAGTTCACAAGAATTCATTTTATAGGACCCTTTAAGGTCAGGTTGATGAACTTCATTTTTTACACAGTCCGCATATACTGAGGAAGCTCATTTCATATTTCCAAGTTCGATAAAACTTTCTCTAGCAATTCCAAAGAACGCTATAAATATCAAGTCGTAAAATGGAAAACTTCGGACCAAAGTGTTATCATTGTGCATAAACCTAACAATAAACCTGATTTACACCAGCATTTCAGACACTCTCAGTGTCTTTGGGAGAAATAATCCAAATGGCCCAACATGTGTGTGGGTGTGTGGTGCTGCGGTCACCTGCTTGGCAATGGCCCAGAACCTCTTTTCCAGCAAATCCAAGGTCATCTGCACCCCGATGGCTAAAAATAGACAAACACACACAAAGACAGAGTACTGAGACAGATACAGGACAAGATGGATGCCACAGATGTTACAGTCTTAAATGTATGTGTGTGGAGGAAATCAATGCAATCTACTTGTATTTCTTAGGAATGTTAAACAAATCTAGTTTCAAGTTGCTTATATGGAGTCTCCATCACATGCTTGAATTGTATGTATTTATTTGTTTTGCATGTAAATAGTAAATGGTCACATTTTTATATAGCTTTTCCACCTTCATGGTATTCAAGAAACCATTTACCCATTCATCCACACAGCACAAGACAACACATACAACAGTGTGCGCAGACACTGAGGGTGAGATCTGTTAAGTGTCTAGCCCAAAGACATCATAACAGCATTTATCTGTGGCAGGTTGAATTGCACACCAACTTGTGGTTCAGTGGATCTAGCCGCTCAACCAATAATGTTTATGCAGAAAGCAAGATTCAAACCGCCAACCTTTGGATCAGTGGACAACAGCTCTATCAAATGAGCTAGTGTCACCCTACAAGTAAACAACATTTGAGAAAAAAAATATATTATGAAATTAAATGAGCCATAAACCATGAACTTTTCTCAGCTGTTTTTAAGTCCATGCTGTAGTTTGTTAAGGACAGATTTAGGTCAAGATCATACTGTTCTCAAAAGTGGCCCATTTATATTACATTTTGTTGAGGGTAAAAATAAGAATGCTTCTACTTATCTGCCGAGTTACTAGAACTAGATAGTATGAGAAATTAAGATGTATTCACTTATTCATTCTATAACAATGTATTTCTCAAAAGAAGGGAAGAAGTTGGGGAGAACCACAAAGGCCATGTAAAGCCCACTCTGTAGTTGATCAACCCCCCGTTGACAAGCTAACAACTCTGCCACTGTAAACAACCCAAAATGTATCCTTTCAAATATACTTACTTTCTGATTTCAATAACTTATAACTTCCTCCCCATATATAACTTCTATAATAGGCCACACTGAAACAACTTACATTTCTAAAAAATAGATAAATACATTTCATATATGCAATATATATATATTTGGGAATTTTCTCTCCAATTCATAAACAAGATATGTACAGTTCCGAAACTACAGCAGATACTTGAAGATGAAGGCCTGGTTTGACTGGGACTAGTACTGAACTTATCTGTGGGGACAAGTAGGTGAGACTCTCTGACGAACTTACAGGGCAGATCTATGGAGAGGTGTGTACATGTTTAAAAGGTATTTTTTGAGTAATAACGACACCTGTAATTAAAACATACAAGATAAATATGTTTAACACCATTCTGTGGAACATTCCAAGTGACATCTCCATCAGAAAAATTACACAGTGCACCTTTACGTTAGTAGTTTTAGTTGGATTTTCCAAGTACATGTCATTGTGAAGACGTCTCTACCACTTAAGAGCAGAAAGTAATATTGTTTAAAACTCACTGGGGTATTTTGTGTTTTCACAGCAGTAATAAGAAAGCACTACATCCCTGTCAGACTGTGGTTTAAAGAGCAGGTTGTAGCACTCATAGACATACAGTAATATCTGCAGTGGTGTAATGAAGACTGTCCTTCACAGTGCAGTGGCCACTATATCACAGCATCGTAACAGATATGGGCCTGCACGGCTCTCCTGAGGAATGCTCTTATTACAAAAATACAAACAGAAAAAGCCCTTGTTTCTGTTATTGAGATATTCTTTAACGTGGCCTTTTTCTGCATGAAGATTCTGCTGTGCATGAAAAGATGAACAAAAAGGCAGGACGATTAGGCTATCTCCCACAGGGCCGTCCAATTAATTGAATTTAATAATGAGTTCAATAATTACTCTAAACAATAACAAAAATGGCATAGTTAAAAAAAAAAAAATCCAAAAAACTCAAAAACAATAAAAGCTTTCTGAATCACCAAATATTAATAAACTGCAGTCTTTTCTAACACAGGATTTGTTAGAAACCTGTCCATTAAAAAGCCATCACTGATATCATCATTGATATGTTGAAAGAACTGAACAACAACAAAACAAAAAGTTGAATTTCACAGCAACATTTATTTGTAATTTTTCAATGATAAAAAGTCTATTCTACCTCCACAGGTTAATTTCTGGTAATATGTAAACACTTGTTGCAAAAGCTAATTTTATGTAAAAGTAAAATTCTGCAAACGTACCCCAAACCCCTCCTTTTGAATGCAATTATGTTTGAGCCTATGTCTAACAAGCATCTGTTTTTTATTCACTCCGCACCTTTTTATGTTAATTATTTATTTCACAAACACCAAGAAAGCAAAACTTTATCACCTCTGATTTAAAGTACTATGCCTATGCCATAGAATACCTATAGTTGAGAATGCATTTTGTTCACAAAGTTGTAAAATGTTCATGCACTGGACACAAAGGTTTGGTGAGTTTTATTACGTGATAGTTTAACCATAACATGGAAACATTTTGGATTTCTGCTGTTTCATGCCCATTTTGAGGCCATTTTAACACTGAACTTCAAAAGAAATTCTTTTTCTGTCAGACATTTCCTTGGGCCTGTAGGACATTATGTGTCAATTATGGGTGAAATATTCCAACAAAACTTATGTTATAAATTTTCGCAAAGTCATTATACTGCTATTCCCTGTGCATGGAGTTCCGACTTTATTTAAAATCCAATAATTCCTTTCTACCAGAGTCATAAAAGTCATTTGAACGTCTCTGAAAGAATGAGGTGTGACTATAGCAATAACAGTCCAGTATCTGTCCGAGCGCAGGGTGACCTCAGGGTGCACTAAAGTGGTTACGGTGATTTCACTCTCTCCTCTCAAATAGCCTCGCTGCAGAGTCAGTGGTCTGCACTTTTCTTTCCTTTCCTGCTGTTTCCAATTCATTTTTCATTTTTTGTGTGTGTTTTTTTTCTTCTCTTTAGCCATCAGCCGTGTCCTTATCGCCCTTCAGAGCTGCAGCTGCACTGGTTCTGCTGCAGTCTGCAACCACACAGGCCAAATACAATATAAACACCTTTTTTCAACTATATGTCAAAATAGGTAGCAGAGTAAGAAAAACAAAACTATTGTCAGGCAGTTTTTGGTCAGGAAAGTTATTCATGGAAAATGTATTTCTGATGTATCTCTCTTTGTTCACTTAGTTTCCCTTGGAGGCTGATGTGATGCTGGGCTGCAGGGCACAGAGGAGGGACACTTTTGTCCTGAGGGCTATGACTTCTCTTAAACTGCCCTGGCACATGATCTGCTGATTGTACCTGACGAATCATCCCATTAAGCTGCACTGAGACCTTTGATTGAGCTTTTCTATTATGATTGTATTTTACTTGCTTGAAATACCCCTCAGGGACAAATAAAGTCATACTGATTGATTTCTGAAAATGTGAACTGACTAGACACTATGTTTAATTGTGAATGACCTGTCTTAATGGATAGAATATAGCCAAAAAATAACTGGTTGCTTTGGTGGTTCAAATCCTGCTCATAACAGTGCAGCTTTGTTGTGTCCTTGGGCCAGACATGACATACACAGTAGTAACTTACCACAGAGTATGGAATTAATGAATACTAACTACAGTGCAGTGCTTTGAGAGGTTTGTCAACCCTAACTGTTAAACAAGTGTAATTCAGTACTATTAGTAATAGGATAGGTGCCTAAAATGTGTGGAATTAGCTAACAAACTGCCATAAAACCAAGTGGAAAAGAACAAAGGAGGATTAAGTTTCTGTGAACATGCCAACACTATGCACCAACCTGACCCACATATTTTAGTGGTAGAAGTAACTGGAGCACCCGAAGGAAACCTCCTTCTCAGAAGGACATGCAAGCTCCATAAAGAAAGGCCCTCTTAAGCATAGCACCCAGGACCTTCTTACTGTGAGTTCACTCACAGTGTCATCATTCTGCTGTGTTGGCTGGTGTTCAATACTTTACATATCCACATAAAACCCTCTTGAATTTACATTTCCCAACTTGAACAGAATGAGTATTAAATACAACACAGGTTTAAAGTGTGTCTTTTCCACAAACTAGGATGTAGTGATCTCAAGTTGAAAACCCCCCTCTTGCACTGGGTAAGTGGATGGCCTGGTCTACTGAGCCACTTCTTATTTGTGTCTTCTGACCACTATTTACAGGCCTTGCCCTCAATGCAGATTCGAACACATTTAGCTTCAGTCTTGATCTCAGACATGTAGGGCACACCACCATCCAAAACTTTGACTTCCCCTGAGAACACGTATAACTTATAATTTAAAAAGTAGTTGCAAGGTGCTACAAGATGCTTCAGACTTACTCACTCACTCACTATTTTCAAATAAGTATTTTTCCCATTCTTTTAAGGTTGCCAAGATGAACCAAGGAATGCTGCACAGGCTTAAAGCATATGCCCAAAGCTGATATTATTCAAATAATAAATCTATTTAACCCATACCTCACATATTGTTAAACAGTAGCCCATAAATTCCATTTAATATGATAAAGTGTCCACCTAAAACATGGTGTGCAGTAAATACAGACCTTGAAAAATGCAAATAGTCATTGAACAGGACATGCTTGTATTAGGGTGTATGTGTAATTCAATCACACCTGAACCTGAGCTGCCTTAACCTGCATTTTAATGACACACGTTTTCTCATTCTCAGTATATGGACAGCATCATGTGAAAGCTCAGAACCTCCAGAACTCAATCACTGTCCTAAAGATGGAAGCTGCACCAGTGCTGATTAATGATTGGCTGCAAGGCTGAGGTTTAGGTTGTGAGTGTTCAGAGCAAGAGCACTTTTGAGTTTAACTGGTTTCTACTCTTATAATCTGGCAACCCAAAGTGATGCGCTCATTCATACACTTGAGAAACAGAACTTTAAAACAGAAGACATTATACATCATATTTTTCTAACTATGAGTAAAGCAACATTAGAGATATCAGTAGAATTATTATTTGAACACTTTACTTTGTATTTGAGGACATGAAAAATGAGATAGAAAACCTACATACTA